AGCATGGAGACCCTGGAGTGGGAAAACTGCATTACTAGAACATAGCCAGCACTAGCATGGTGGAATTTTTTTTTATATTCCATGCAACACCATACACATGAAATAAAAAGAAATCTTTTAGAAAAGATAACTTATTGGAGCTAGAGAGATGTCTCAATGGTTAAGAGCACTGGCTTCTCTTCCAAAGAACCCAGGGTTTGATTCCCAGCATCCAAGTGGCAGTTCAGAACTGTCTATAACTCCAGTCCCAGGGGATCTGATTCCCTCTTCTGACCACCCTCTGCATTGTACACATGAGGTGCACAGACATATATGCAGACAAAAAAAACCCATACCCATAACAATAAATAATAAAAAATTTCAAAGATACACTATTACTATAATAATCTTGTGCTGCCAGCAATATGAGTTGTTTTGTATTTTTTAAATTGGCAAATATAATTATATGGTTATCTTATACATAATAATATACACATATATATACACACATACATATATAGAATTGAATAACTATCTCTCATTAACATATGCATTACACACAAAGTTGCTATCAAAGGAGAACAAAAGATTGAGACTATAAAGTAAAAAAAAAAAAACAAGGAAGCTTTGGAGGTGGCAAAAATTAATCCTATATCTTGATTGTGGTAATTACACAAATTGATACGTGCTCTAAAATTCATACAACTATACATCAAAAACTCACTTTAATACATAACAACTTACAAAATAAAATTAGCAATTATTGACAATTATTTTATGTGTAACAGTGGTATTGTGGCTCTTTTTAAGGATTTATCTTTACAAGGTATACACTAAAATATATTAAAATATTTAAAATATTTAATATATATTAAAATATATATGTATATGTAAAACATAGGGTTTGTTTAAAACTAATACTGGAAAGAGCCAGGCAGTGGTCACACATGTCTTTAATCTCAGCACTGGGGAGGCAGAGGAAGGCAGATTTCTAAGCTCAAGGGTAACCTGATCTATAGAGTGAGTTCTAGGATAGCCAGGGACACACAGAGAAACAATCAAACAGACAAATAAACTAGAAGGGCTGAGCAAATTGGATTGCTTAAAGTGCTTGTGTTCAGATCACCGGCAGCCATGGGACAAGATGGATGTGGTAGTGTACCTATTATTTCAGCTTTAGGAAGGGAAGTTGAGAAGATCCTGAGGCTTATGAACCAGCTGGTACAGGCAATCAGTGAGCTCCAGGTTCAGTCACTGACCTTTATCTCCAAAAGTATGGAAGATGTTGTGTATAGCAGTAAACACTTTAATTCCAGCACTCAGGAATTTTAATCCCAGTACTCAGGAAGCAGAGGCTCATGGATCTCTGAGTTTGAGGCCAGCCTAGTCTACATAGTGAGTTCCGGAACAGCCAGAACAACTTTAAAGAGATTCTGTCTCAACCATAAGTAAATAAGTAAATGAAATATGATAGAGAGAATAGAAGAGGGTACCTGATGTCAACCTCTGGCCTCCAACAGGCATGTACATACATCTGCACACACGCACACGCACACCTCAGAGTAGAAAAGTGTTTGAGGGACACAGGTTAAAAAAAAAAACAAAAAACAAAAACAAGCCTGGTCCTCAGTTAACAATTGCTGAAGTTTCATGATTGATATATGAAACTTGGTTACACTATCCTGTTTTGGAATATATTATGTAATTTTCATAGAGAAATACATTTTAAGATAGAGTAGAGCTGTTGTTAGCCTTCAAGATCAGACCCCGTATATGCTAGGAAACTCTTTTTTGACACTTAGTGGATCTTGGCAAATCATTTGTTTATCTTCCATTTCATTCAATCTGATCATAAGTGGAGAATATTACTGATACAGTATCCATCTTGTGGCTTGTTGTCCTCAGAAGATGTGAAAAGCAGGTCCTTGGGATGTTGCACCTGCTCAGTGAGTGTCAACTGCTTTGTCACTGTTACTTTTCCCAGACTCTAGACCATGTCTTAGCATAACCAGGATTTCTTTTTTTGTACCTTATGATTCAGGACTTGTGTATTTAATTCCCTATTGAAGACCATGAAACACATCTACAGTAGTCCACTTCTTCCTCATATTACATTGTATGTTCTATTTTCCCCTTTATGTGTGGGAGGCTGGAGAGATGATTTAAGGGTTAAGAATACGTGCTCTTTTTGCTTAGGATCTGAATCTGATTCCTAACACCATATCCTGTCATTCACAACTGCTTACAACTTCACCTCCAGGGGACTCAGTGCCATCTTCTGTAGGCACCTGTATTACATTCACATACACATACGTAAAAACATCCTTTAAAAATATTTAAAGCTGTGTGTGGTGGCGATCTTATAAGCTCAGCACCAGGGAAGCTACGATAATGTGGGTCACAAGGGCACACTGGCTAGTCAGTCTGGCCTAATCAGGGATGTCTTGGTCAGTGAGAGATCTTGACTCAAAGAACAAGGTGGACTTTTGAGGAGCAATATTACATGCTGACCTCTCACCCTCACGGGCATATATATCTATGTACAAATGTAAGCACACAGAAACATACACAGGGTGGAATAGAGATTAAGTTAGATAAAAATCCAGAAATACATCTTTTCTTTCAAAGTAGTAAAGAGCAAATGACTGAGCCCCAGAAAGGACTTAAAAAAAAAAAAACCAAACAAGCCTGGTCCTCAGTTAACAATTGCTGAAGTTTCATGATTGATATGTGAAACTTTGTTACACTATCCTGGAAAGGTGGAATTTATCTTCTTAGATGCTATCATGGGGACCACAGACTCTGAGCCCAGAAAGGCCTTCAGGTCACAAAGCAGCCTCTTTCCACCATGCCTAATGGGCCTCATTTTTAGAACTAAACAGCACAGTCAGTGTTGTGGATATTTTAGGGAAGGGGGGGTGGTGGTTCATGAGGTGCTGTGTCAAACCATTCTTTAAGCCAATAGGATCGTGCGGGGGTATTGAAGTAAAGCTTCAGTTCACCCTTCCATACGACATAAGTGGTCTCTTTTTAAGGCTCCTTCAGAGGAGGGAGAGAAGGGGAGCAGGGCTACACCACCAGAGTAGTGATCTGCAGAATGACCTGTGGGCTATACAGCTGTTAATATGTGACATTAGGCTGTAATGCATGAACGGCGTGGAGGTTGGGCATGTTATTGTCAGCCCTCTGTGGTTAGGGTCTACTTATCTGAAAGGCTTTTCCTGTCTATATAACATGACAGTTGAGACCACACAGTATCCAGGTTAAGCCAGTCTCACATACCTGGTCCTGTGGTTCCTGGAGATGAACTCTGTGTGCCCCTTTGAACTGTAAGTATTCCCTCCTGCTACAACCCACCTAGTAGTAGTAGGGGGATGACCTGGAACTTCTCCCAACAGAACCGGGCAGTAGAAAGGTCAGTGGGTATGGATTCTTAGCTTCAGCTAGGTGGGAGAGCCAGAAGCTCCAGAACATAATCCCATGGGTCTCTCAAAACAGAAAGGAAGAAGGCTGGTTGTGGTGGTGCACACCGGTAGGATATGCTGAAGAGGTAGAGACATGAGGATCATGAATTCATGGCCAGGTGACTTATAATCATCTGCAACTCCAGTTCTTCTGACATCTTTGGGCACAAAGTATACACATACATACATACATACATACATACATACAACATACATACATACCAGCAAGACATTCACACACATAAAATAGAGAATAATTTAAAATTAAAAAAGAAAGGAAGAGATCTGTGCCCCTCCCACTTTCAACCTTCTGTACATTGATGGGCTCTTTACCACGCCCTATCACAATCTGACTTTCCCTTAGATGGTGTTCTAGCTGCTCTGAAAATTCTGACAAGAATGTGCCCAGATCTGAGTGACATCAGCCAGCCCAGAAAAATAAAACAAAGTCTTTCTTAGATCACTCACAGTTATCTGAAAACCAAGGCGCCATTGTCCCTACTGTCCTGAAGGAATTCTTTTTTTTTTTATGTTGGTAGTGACATATATGGACCTTTCATCAATCACTGTATCTCAAACAGGAAATATCTGTTTGGGAAATGAGTTCGAGACAGCATGGTCATCTTGGCAAATGTGCAGTCCCGGGTGGCTTATGTCTATTGCTTCCAGTTTCCATAACACTAACGGAGTTGCTGGCTTCTGAGCTCTAGGAGTAGCTGCTATCTATTTAGTATTCTGCTCTTTGAGAGGCATTACACTAAATAAGAGAACACCTCACTAGGGCTCAGGATAACCCTATGAACCAAGGATTATGATGTACATTCGCCTATTGATAAGCAGATGCAGAGGAATGGAGTAAGTTGTCCGTCCCAGGTCACAAGGCCACTAAGGACTAGAGACATTCTTGTGTAGTACTACTGTAGTTCTATGTATGTGCGCCATGTGTGTGTAGTGCCTGAGGATGCCAGAAGAGGGCACTAGAACCCCTAGAGTGCCCATCTCAAGTGGCTATATAGGTGCTGGGAACCGAGCCAGGCTCTTCCACAAGAGCAGTAAGCTCTCTATAAAGCCATCTCTCCAGCCCTCTCTGTTTCTGAACTAACACTGTAAGCAAAATCAGTTGTTTTGTTTGACTAGGAAATGAAGTTGTCCTGACACTCTTCCTGAAAGAGACATTGCCAGGCATTTCAATTGTCTGGCAAAGCAGCCTGTTAGGGGAAGAAAAAAAAAAAAAAAAAAAAAGAACTGCCATCTGAAAGCTTCCTGTTACACGTTAAGCTCAACACTCCACTTTCTGTGAGACTCTCAAACCGGCTAGAAGATTTCTCATCACGCTAATTAGCCTGGCTCCATGTTAGACAAAACTGTCATCCTTTGGGGTAGGTCTAAGAGGCAGAGAGGCGAAAGCTCGAAAGGAAGAGCTGGGACTGCCAAGACACCCACGCTCTTAGACCGCCTAGTCCGTACGGAAGAGGCGGGGCACAGTCCAGGCTAGTCCTGCCTGGGTCAGACCCTCCTCCATAGACCACGCCCCGGAGAGCTCCGCCCCCAGGCCCGCCCCGCGGCGCATTGTGGGATCCGTCCGCCCCACCGGAGCGGTACGTGGCGCTAGGTCATGGGGATCCAGCCGGTAAGACCCTCGTTCTGTGCCCTGAGCCCGGGGTCACCGCCTCAGCTCGTTCTGGGCAGCCTGGCCTACGGGGCTGTGCTATACCCACCTTGGATGCTGGAGTCTCGCTGCACGGGTTACGGGCTGGGTTCGCTGCTCCGCTCGCTTCTGCGGTTTTGGCATGCTTTCTCGCTGGAACTCAGGATCCCCACCCCTGCTCCTGCACCCACTCCCTGGCTCTTCCTAAGCGTGGCGATCACGCTTCTTCCTCTATCCACAGAGCCCCGTCTTGCTAGCCTCTCTGGGGGTGGGGCTGCTTACTCTGCTCGGCCTGGCTCTGGGTACTTACTTGGTTCGAAGATCCCGCCGGCCGCAGGTTACTCTTCAGGACCCGGATGAGAAGTACCTGCTGCGGTTGCTAGACAAGACGGTAAGTTGTGAAGAAGGGGGCTAGGGTGGAGAGTGGACCGAAGTTCTCCTAGTTTGAGGGCTAGCATTCAAGGTGGTTGGATTGCACCAAGAGACTTGGCAGGCCAGATCTGCTTGATGAAACATCTTGTCATCCATCCTCTAGACAGTGAGCCACAACACCAGGAGGTTCCGCTTTGCCCTGCCCACCGCCCACCACATTCTGGGGCTGCCTGTGGGTAAGGAAAAGGGAGTGGGCTTCTCTCTGGCGTCCTATGAGGGCAAGTCACTGCTTAGCTGTTTTTCCTATGCACCGCTTTGCCCTTTGTCAATCCTTCAGCCTGTGAGGGGCCACTCCTTTAGGGTGTGGCTTCTGTGCCCCTAGGCATCTCTAACCTCCAGTTGCCTTCCCTCTTTCCATAGGACTTACTATAACCTGACTCATATCCCAGAAAACTCTAAATTTCTTCCCATTATGCAAATCCTCTGCTCACTTGCTGCTGCTAAGGTCCTGTTAGTAGATGAGGGAGTTTCAAAGGTGGGAGGAGGCCAGAGATACTGCTGAGGAATCCTCTCTGTGGAACAGTTCCTTGAACCCACATCCAGAAGCAAAGCATCCTTTTCTCTCAAATCTGAGTCTTTTGAAAGGTGACAGGACACAGCACACCCGCTGAATCTTATGTTAACTCTCCCCGTGGTTCCCAGGTAAGCACGTCTACCTCTCTGCTCGGATTGATGGCAGTCTGGTTATCAGGCCTTACACTCCTGTTACCAGTGATGAAGACCGAGGCTATGTAGACCTTGTCATCAAGGTAGGTGTCTAGAAAGGAAATCTCGGGGCTGGGTTGTTGCCATACAAGTCTCAAGTTTGGACCCATGCAAAAGTTGAAATCCCAGCCTGCCTCTACTGGAAGTGGCTACCTGAGAAATACCAGAAACTCAGAGTTTGGGAGAAGCCAGCCTTTCAAGAACAAGAAAGATCCTGTCTCAAACAAGATGAAAGACACAGACTGACATCTGAGGTTGTTTGTCCCCTCCACACTTGCCAGGGCAGGTGTGCATGAGCTCACACCACACACATATTACATGCACACATGCATGCATATATGTGCATACACACGCACACCAAAAAAAAAAAAAAAAAAGGAATCTAGAGACTCTGAGACTTTTAGAATGTTCCTAGATTCCTCTGACTATAGGAAGTAATGAATCCTTTTGGGTCTAAGGGAAGGGAGAAAAGATTTGAGGTGTAATAAGTTCTGATTTGGTTTTCATTACATCTCAAATGTGGCATTTTCTTCCTCCCTGCCTCACCAGGTTTATCTGAAAGGTGTGCACCCCAAATTTCCTGAAGGAGGGAAGATGTCTCAGTACCTGGATAGCTTGAAGATTGGGGATGTGGTAGAGTTCCGGGGACCGAGTGGGTTGCTCAGTTATGCTGGGAAAGGTGAGTATCTGTCTTTTCCTTCCTACAGTCTCACTTTTCCTGTTCCTACAGTTCCAGGTCCCCAACCTCCCCGTCCCATCCCCCACCACAATCTGGATTTGTGCATGAGTGTACCTATGCAAAGCCCCCTGAGGCACCCATGCTACAGAAAGGCAGGTTCCACCTCTTGGAGATTACCAAAGTAAACCTATGCCTCTCCTTCCTTCACCTAAGATTCTTCCCTCTGGCTAAGAACCAAAAGAGAAAGCGTTTTAGCTCTTCCTAAGGAAACAACTGGGTACTGTGCCTTGTCTCTGGTGATGCTCTGAACCACTAGGGAAACAAAATTTACCCTGGCCCCAAGCCTACCACCCTAGCCAGGGAGCAGTTCTCTGCCAGAGGTCTTTGCTCCACACACCTCCCTTACCCTCCTTGGCCCTGACTCTTCCAGGCTGTGTGGGATCACTGGGCTCTTTTTTTTTTCTTTTTTTCTTTTTCTTTTTTGTGGTTTTTCGAGACAGGGTTTCTCTGGATAGTCCTGGCTGTCCTGGAACTCACTCTGTAGACCAGGCTGGCCTCGAACTCAGAAATCCACCTGCCTCTGCCTCCCAAGTGTTGGGATTAAAGGAGTGTACCACCACAGCCAGTGTGGCTTCTGTGCCCCCACTGTGTCCAAGCAGACAGCCCAGTGCCATTGTCCTTCCTGAGTAATTGTCCCCGTTTGTTTAACTCAAACCTCCACCCAAGCTGAACTCCCAAGATCAGATTTCATAGCAGCTGCTAAAACAGCCTAGGGCATGCTTTCCGTTCTGTTTGTTTACTTAGTCCCTGTTTTGAATTGACTCTTAACTCTTGACTTGGCTTCCCAGGGAATTTTAACATTCAGCCTAACAAAAAATCTCCACCTGAACTTCGAATGGCGAAGAAATTGGGAATGATTGCTGGTGGGACAGGTCTGTATCACTTGAGGGACATTTTTGCTTAGCACTCTTGGGGTTTGCTCTGCAGGTTCCTTCTGAGGTTTAGTAATAGAGGACAAGTTGTTATCTAGGGACCAGCACTGCCTACACTTCCCCTGTAGCTGAAATTGTAAAGAAGTAGAAAGAACAGGAACAACAATTCACAGACAGGAGAGCGGTAAATCAGAAGGGTCTTCTACAAACCGAGGGGATTTAATGACTTTGAGAGAAACAATCAAGTATGAATAATTGAGAAGGAAAAAGCCAGGCCTGGTGGTGCAGGCCTGTAGTTCTGGGGATTGGAGTTTGAAGCAGGAAGATCACAAGTTTAGAGTCAGCCTAGGCTGTGTATGTAAATATTCTCACCAAGTCTGGACAGTTTAGTGAGCACAGTGGGAGAGCACCTAACTTAGCATGTTCAATCCTCTATATCACAAAAGAAAAAGAGTACTATATATAGTAGGACTATCTGTTAGATACCTACTACCCTATAAATAGGTATGGGAAATGTGATCCTTTCTCTTCTGCAAATGTGGGAATGGAGATTCCTAGTGCTTTGGTTACTATAGGGTTAATTAGTAATGGCCGCAGCCAGGATTCAAACCTGACTCTGCCTGATTCTGAAGAACATGCTCTTACTCTCTCTAAGCAGTGTTCCAGAACTCTTAATCAGAAGGGACATTAGGAATATATGTGTGACTTTGGTTTTTGTTTTGGTTTGGTTTTTTTGAGGCAGGATCTTGTTATGTAGCTCTGGTTGGCTCAGAACTCTATCCTCACAGAAATATGACAGCTTCTGTGTCCCAAGTGCTGGAAATTAAAGGCATGTACCATCAGGCCTAATCTATAATGTTTGAGATCCTACCTCCAAGGGACCCTCAGAGCAAGTGTCTTAGATGAACTCCTTGGAAGGAATTCTACATTGTCTTCTTATGTGACTCTTAAGGTTCAGAAAAGTAGGTCCTGGTGAACATGCAGGAGGGAGTCAGAGGATTGGCTACAGCAGAACACACACAATGTGATGATAAACTCTGAGGTGACAGGGTTGGTCAGCGAAGGAGCACGAGACAGAGAGAAAGCATAGTACATCTCACCATGGGGTATCCTCATGCAGGAATCACCCCAATGCTGCAGCTGATCCGGGCCATCTTGAAAGTCCCTGAAGATCCAACCCAGTGCTTTCTGCTTTTTGCCAACCAGGTTGGTTTGCGTTTCTGAGAGCCAGCACTTTGCGTTGACTGTGTGGATAGATGGGCTGAGACAGACAGAACTGGCTCAGGGCCTATTCTAGCATCTGTCTAGAAGCCCCTCTGTGAATTCAGGATCCTTTATCACAATAAGGAATGGGGGATCAAGAGAGGACTAGGATTTGGTTTCCAGCCCCCACAATGGCAGCTTACACCTTTCTTTAACTCCAGTAACAAGAGATCTGCCACTCTCTTCTGGGCTCCAGGAGCAATAGGCACTCATGCAATGAGTTTATATACATGCAGGCAAAACACTCATAAAATAAAAGTAAGTAAAGAAGAGGGGCTGAAGAGATGGCTCAGCTCTTAAGACCACTGAGTGCTCTTCCAGAGGTCCTGAGTTTAGTACCTAGTAACCACATGGTGGCTCACAACTATCCTGTAATGGAATCTGATACCCTTTTCTGGTATGTCTGAAGACAGGGATAGTGTACTTACATAAAACAAATGAATGAATCTTTAAAACACAAAAAGTAAGGAGAAAGAACCTAGTGTTAAGCCTCAGAAGTGAGAGAAGATGGAGGTGTCTCATGCTGTCCACAGGCCCTTGGGCCTTCATGGGCCACTTCCTGATCCTCAGACCCTAAGCTACTGCAAGTATGGCCTCCCCCTAGACTTTGAGCATGTCTTTGGTATTCCTTTCCTTCTCTGTTGGAAGGTTGTCATAGCAAAAGACTTTGCTGGTATGGACCCAACGGTTCTACGTCTCTGCTTCCCCGTTTGCATTTCAGACTGAAAAGGACATAATCCTACGAGAGGACCTAGAAGAACTGCAGGCCCAATATCCTGATCGCTTTAAGCTCTGGTTCACTCTGGACTATCCTCCCGAAGGTATTGTGCCATTTCTGAACATCTAGATAGTCTCTCATTATCAAAATCAAGGCCTTGCCCCTCTGTGAGTTCTGCTTTCAGTAAAACAGGTCCCTCCCGACACTGCCAGAATTCCAAATCCAGGTGCACAAAGTGATCCCTCTGCTTCAGGCTCCTGTTGTCAGGTGGGTGGCAGGGATGTGGCTGTAGTTGCTGTTCCAGCCTGAGGCCTTCTCAGGATCCCTTCCGGGTCTTCCCAAGGGTCTGTCCTGCAGACGGCACATTCATTACCTTGCTGCTATGGACCTGAAGCACGTGTTGTATTCTCTTCTCTATCCTCCAGACTGGACCTACAGCAAGGGCTTTGTTACTGCTGACATGATCCAGGAGCACCTGCCCGCCCCAGCAGAGGATGTACTGCTGCTGCTCTGCGGGCCACCACCGATGGTCCAGCTGGCCTGCCACCCTAACCTGGATAAGCTGGGCTATTCACAAAAGATGCGGTTCACCTACTGAGCATCGAGAAGCCTCCCTACCTGATCCCATGTGTGCAGTTGTCCCTAGTCAATTCTTGAACACCAAGAGGCCTGGGGCCTTTGCTGAGAGCATCAGCCTTTTGTGTCTCATCCCAGTATCTGGATGCTTGCAGAAACAACACTCCCTCAGCTATGGTAGATGCAGGTCAAAGCTAAGTCGCTCCCTTGAAGCTCCCTTTATCCTAATCTCCTTATGATAAAAGGTCCACATGAGGCGCAAGGAACAGTCTCTAGGGCCAGAAAGAAGGGAGCATGTACATTTGTTATAAGGCTGCCTAGTTTTTTGAGAGCATCATGGTCACCTCTGTGTCTGTGATGAAAGGAATGGACTGGGCAATACATTTTGCTCCATATTCAGCACTTCATCCACTACTTGTATGAGTACAGATTGAGTGGGCTTATAGACACAGCCCTACAGAAACTGTAGGAAAGGAATTGTTTTCCTGAATTCTAAACCTCAGAGAAAGGAGGCGGACATTATATATACACACATACATATATATACGTACATATATATGTATATATATTTGTGTGTGTGTGTGTATGTGTGTGTGTATGTATGTGTGTATGTGTGTGTATGTGTGTTTGTGTATCTCAGCCCCTGCCCAGGCTGGAGTGAAATGGTTACCCACAACTTAAGATTGCTGCTTATACAAGGAATATCTGGCTGTTCAAATAAATGGAGCTGAGGCCCTGATGATCTCAAGGAGTCATTGTGCCTGGGGTCCTTGTCTCCTAATGCCTAAGGACATTGGAAGGGAAGGGCTCCCAGCACAGAATCTCCTGGGTGTTTTAAAGAGCTTCTTAGGAGTTGTGCCATATGCTGAAATGTGAGCTGTCACCAGACCCAGGGCTCATTCCTGCAGCTGTTCTGCAGAGCCAGAGCCCAACTCCTCCCTGGAGTCTTTAGAGGTAGAGAGAAGAAAACACAGAGGGGGGCTTTTAGAGTATGGATATCCCTCCCTGTGGTCCCTTAATTTCGTCAGTCTTCCCCTCTTTCTGTTTACCCATCTTCATATTATTCATCCTTCAGGGTACTGGGCTTATAAAACAAAGAGTTGCCTTTCCATTTGGAAGGGACGTCTTTAAAAAGTAACCTGACATCACCAGCTCTGAACAGATTTGGTGACTGGACCGAGTTGGCCTCTGTCATGCCCATGAGTCCTAAATAGTTATCTAAGTTAGAGAACTCCTGATCCAGTCTACTCAGTTCTCCCAGAATAGGACTAAAGGCATGGCTTCTTTGTTGGTCTCATTGGGAGAAGACAATGCTTTGGATTCTTTAGGAAGATCTTTTTGGTTTTGCTTTTCATCTTATTTTATATGCATGGGTGTTTGGCCTGCATGCAAGTCTATGCACCACATACATGCAGTACTCAAGAATGCCAGAAGATGGCATCAGATCCCATGGATCGCTAGTTACATTGGAAAACTGCCATGTGGGCACTGAGAATTGAACACTGGACCTCTGGAAGAGCAGCGGTGATCTTAACTGCTAAGCCATCTCTCCAGGCTCTCAACATTTTTTTTTTTGTTTGCATTTGTTTTTGTATGGAGCTGCATTTCTGTCTCCGGAGCCCCTGACAGAAGGTTTATGGGACCCTCAGAATTCATGCGTGCTAAACACACCAGTGGCAATTGAACAGGTTCTACAGTAAATTCTGTTGGGAGTCATTCCATCTAATATTAATCTTGATCAACTGGTATGTGTATGCCACTGCTCTGACCAACCTCACCCCCAGGAAGGAAATTCTTTTGAACTTGCTGAAGCATCCCAGCAGAGAGTGTCCTGTGTGGATGCTTACTAGTCCTTGTTTTGTGAAGAGATGATTGCAAACATTTATTAAGGATCTATCATGTGAGCAAGCGTGTATCCTGAAATAACAGCTGTGACCAAGGAGAGCTGGTAATAGGCTTTCTCCTCCAAACTCCTTCAGTCTAAGATCACAGCACACAATGATCAACACCACTGCAGAGCTGGGGTCCTAGGACACTAGAGTCCTAATGGGAAGGGCCTGAGAAAGAGGAAGAATTTATATCTTGTTAGCAGACTTGACTTGGTACTGGGTACCATTCAAAGGGTTTTCCCCACATTGTACAATATAATATGCTAATCCTGTGAGTTGAAGACTAAGGGTGTGTCAGAAGTACAGCTGGTCAGTGGTTGGCAGAGCCTGAAGCTAAATTTAGAATTACCTGTAGCCAAAGCCAAAACAGACCTAGAACTGAGCATTGTAAACTGCTTGGATCTTTTGGAAACCTGTGAGGGAAGAGCAGTTCACAGAAGGATCAGAGTGCAAAAGCCAGAGGAATGAGAGAGAAGTGGGAGAAATTTACTGAGGTCCAAAATACCAAAGGAAGATGGAAGAAGATGAGGCCCTGGGAGTAGCTTAAAGCCAGTTTACCAAGGGCCATGCTGTGGGCAGTGATGGTGCACACCAGCTGATCTCCATTAGTGTGAGGCCAGCCTGGTCTACAGAGTGAGCAGGAGAGCAAGCTCTCCAGAGAAACTTGTCTCCAAGCAACAAACAAAAAGATTTTTAAAAAGCTAAAATAATTTCAATTAAAACTTTTTAAAAGTGTGGGGGGGGCATGCTGAAGAAACGTGAGCTCAGTCATAAGTTTCCGGGATTTGTACAGCAGGTAATATATTAGTAATAGCTAGTTGTTAGGAAGCACTAACCATTTGCCAGGCATCATGCAGACACTGCCATGGACTGTCTTTAATCCTGACAGACCTGATAAAGTAGCACTATTTCTCTTCACTTCCAGATTAAGTCATGATTTGGAAGGACTCTGTAATGTAGAAACATCATGGGCTGGGTAGGGAAGGGAACTGGATCTACAGGTATTCAGAGCCGGTGTTTTAACCAGAACAAAGCTGACTTCACTCTCCTCGTGTGGTTCAGCTCCAGCAGCGAAGCTTAGATTGTCTTCTAAAATATGCCCTCTGGGTCACATGGGAATATGGACTGGTGCAGAAAATCGTCAAGCTAGGCTTGTTTGAAGCAACTTCTCCCTTACTGATAAATAACAGGAACCAAAAGTCAAATCCAGTTGAGTGCTAGATTCATAGTAGTTGTTCCATAAATAGCATACTAAAGAGAGGGAGGGATTAGAAAATGAGTTTCGGAGCTGTGTATGGTTGCAATCCCAGCATTCCGGAGGCTGAGTCAGGATCCTCCCCCACTCCCTCCACACACACACACCCCCAGTACAAGGCTAACCTGGGTTGCAAATTAAATTCTTTCTCAAACAAAAATAAAAGTATGGATTGGCTTTGTTGGCACACACCTTCAATCCTGGCACTTGAGAGGCAGGAAGCGAATCTCAGTTCGAGGACTGTCTGGTCTACAGAGAGAGTTCCAGGACAGCCAGGACTACAAGGAGAAACCGTGTCTTGGAAAAAAGAAAAAAAAAAGTGTTTCACTACTAGAGATGTAGTGGCTTGCATACAATTCCCAGTACTCAGAAAGGGGCGGGGGGAGTGTTTCGGAGCTGAAAAGCGAGGCGTGTGGTGGGAAACTCTGCTTTCCTTCCCACTGTCTGATCTAATTCTCCCTGCTCCCTTTTCCATCACGCGCCCAGCGTACGCCCGGAGAAGAGGCTGTTGCAGTCCACCAGTGTGAGGCCAAGCTGGGACAGCCAGAGCCAGCGATTGGTCAGATCAGAGGCGGGGCGGGGCGAGCGCGAGCGCGCGCAGATGATTGGCACCCGCAGGAATGCCTGGATCGGAGGGGGCGAGGTAGCGCCGGGAAGGTGACGCGGCTGCGGAGGTGACGCCGTGCGGTCGCGCGGCCCTTCCGGCGCGGGGAGGGCGCTGAGGATCGGGCGCCCCTCGGCCGCAGGCGGCCTCCAGCGCCGCGGGATGTAGCGCCCGGGCCCGCGGCCCCCAGCAGAGGCAGCCAGCCAGGCCGTAAGTGTCCTGGGGTGGGCGGGGCGCGGGTCCTGCAGGCTCCGGAGGGGACATAGCGGGAGTGGCCCGCCCCTGGATCTCCGCTCGCCGCCCGGCCCTCCGAAAGGTCCTCCGTAAACATTTCCGGCCCCTCCCACCGCGCACCGCCTCCGTTCGGGGGGCTGCTCGCCACCGTCGGGGCCCGGCAGTCCGTGTGTCTCCGCAGCCGTGCGGGAGACGGCTGTGTTCCAGCCTTGGTGGCGATCCCCGAAGTTGAGCCTGCGAGTTGGGTGCGGGAGCACCGGCCCTGGGTGGCCGGTCACCCTAAGGCCCCCCACCGCGATCGGCTGGTTAAACGTGACGGGGCTCCCACCTGGATAGGGTCGGCGGGGAGGTTGATGGAGAGTCGACAGGCCTAAGGTAATACTCAGCTAGAATGTAAACAAGATGCCAAAGTGTTGGGAAAGACCAGATTTCTCAGAAATCTAGGGTTGATGGATGCTGGCTTGTTTGAGAATTTGGGTCTTGCACTTGGTTTTAAGAAAATAAAGTGGCTCGCTGTCAATTTCTGGCGTTTCATAGTTGAAGAAGAAGCTGGACGAATTTCAGTTTACATAGTTTCAGATGTCAGCGGAGCACTAAGAGACCATGGGATCTGCTATAATAATCAGATTATTTCCCTCGAGTATTTAGCCGACGGACCAGAAAGCCCAGCAATTGCAGTTGTTTGGTAAATCAAACGAAGACGGCAATGGATGTTTCTTTTCCGAACCAAAGTCATGTTAGGATGTGCTCCCTGCTTTTTTTTTTTTTTCTTTTGATAGTTCATGGCAGGCTGTGATGGTGCAGTCGCTGTTCCTGGGAGTTTATAGCATCAGTACACTGCCAGGAACTCAGGATGGCGCTAAGTGGATTGCAATGTCAGGGTTCCCGGCCTGCAACCACTGCATTTCTTTATTACAGGAGTAGTTTCTGTGTAAATTTTTTGTGAAAGATCCTTGAGAAGTCAGTGTTAAAAAGCTGGTGTTATCAGTAAAGCATTGGACACTGGTGTGGACCTTCAAAAACTGCACCTACTCCCACAGGATAATCTCAAGCTGAGGTGTTCACAGTAGCCCAGAACCGAAAGATTTCTAAGAACTAAGGACAAAGTAAATAAGTGACTTTATCTGCTTGAAAGAGAGACTCCTAGGAAGCAGCCTTAATTTCATAGGTCCCCCACTGCCATAGACAGAGTACAGCACTTTAAAATCGAATGCTAGGCTAAGTTGTGTCACTTCAGAGTGACCTCATTTTTTTTTAAGCTTCCGGATGGAGAATGCATTGTTCACTGCTCTGGGTATCCATGCTACCATGTAAACAGGTTTACACAGCTGTGCCCCCTGGAAAGTCCTGCCTCAGAGGTCCATACCTATCAAATCTTAAGATAGATCTACGAAGCCTTCTTGATCATTTCAACTAAAGTGAAGCTTTTCTTCTCAGGTCCTCCAGCGCGGCACCTGTTAGCTCTTAGCTTCATAATGATGCTATTAGAAAACAAAGTATCCCTTAGGTGGTAGGATGCACACTTTTAATCTTTAATCTCAGCACTTGGGAAGGAGAGGCAGGCAGATCTCTGAGTTTGAAGTCAGTCTGGTCTACAGAGTGAGTTCCAGGACAGCCAGGGTTACACAGAGAAACCCTGTCTCGAAACAGCAACAACAAAACAACAACAACAACAACAACAACAAAAGAAGTAGCAGAAAAAGAGGAGGAGGAAAAGGAGGAGAAAGAAAAGAAATTATTCAATAAACACCTTTAAGATTTTAAAAAAA